GAAATGTTTCGTCCTCTGCTCAATTCGTAAGGAACCTGCTGTCCCTCTGCAATAAAATAGCCACTGCTCATAGACTTCGAAAATTGTACACTAAATTTGGGGTCTCAAATTTTTAAGTCTTAAGTCTTTACTTAAGTATCTGCTTGAATTGATAATAAGAGACGATAATAAGCGAGGTTTACTTTGTTTTGATCACTCAACTGTAATTCCTAGCGCGCTCACTTCAGGCAGGATTGAGACAACGGGCAAGTTTCGTTCCCGCCTCCCTCCGTCTCCAAACCGGCAGACGCTAACGTCGTTGTCGTGTATCTCATTTGCTAGACTCTTCCATAGCCTGGAACGGTACCGTCTATCGATACGCGCCTTGTTATTAAATTTTGCGCAGGACTCGGAAAATGGCCCATCAAAATTTTGTAGCATTATTCTATAGGATGTCGAAAGCCCATCAAAAGCTGACGGTTTAAAGTGACTTGAGTGCTTCAGAGACAAGGCAAGCGTAGCGAGGACGTCGTGTTACCGTATGTCTCGTGAGATAACTTCAACAAAGGGGTAAGTTGTCCGAACTAAATCAGAAAATTTGTCATATTTTATAATTAAAAATATCCACTCGCTATTGTTGCTGTTTTATCAGAGTAAAAAGGCTAAAAATTTCCATTTTTCGGTCAATTGAGCGGGGATTATTGAACATAAGTTCAACATAGTGGGGTCTAGCAAGATTAGGGTCAACAGAGTGGGGCCAAGCCAATATAGGGTCAAAGGAAGGGGGTTTAGCAGGGGTAATGTCAATAGAGGGGTCTAGTAAAAGAAGGGTCTAGCAAAGGTTACGTCTACAAAGCGGTTTCTGGCAAGGGTTAAACCTACAGAGTGGGGCCAATCATGGATAGGGTCTACAGAGTAAGGTCCAGCAAGGGTAGGGCTTACAGAATGGAGTTTAGCAGGGCTAGGATCAACAAAGTAGGATCTAGCAAGTTTGGGGTATACAGAGTGGGGGTCTAGCAAGAGTAGGGTCTACTGAATGGGGTCATATTTAAACCGCAAGCCACCTGCCATGCAATCCACCCAGCAGAGACCTTTAACTACATTGAACGGTCCCTTCGCCCCCCCCCGCCCGTCCTTATTTAGCACACTGGGGGTTTTCGCGCTTCAATTAAATTTTGCCGATTCATATTGCTGATTTTTGAGGCCAAAGTTTCTTTGTAGCGCTCATTGAAGTTCCTCAAAATTCAAATAAATAAAGAAAAGTTAAAGTTGCAGCAATATATCGAAACGCTTTCATCCTTTATCAACACTCCTTTTTCTCTTTCTTTTAAAATATTAATGATTTCTATCGATAATTGGTACTTATGTTTCTTTTCAAGCTACGTTACCCAGTTATCAGTATATTGGTTCACTATTCCCTACCTTGTCTCACTTTCTTAATTACCCTCAATTCATCCCGCCACACAAAGTTTCACCTGGAATCACTTCACCCCAAAGTCCGTTTTAAAATCTCCCCTCGGTTGAATGCTATCTAGTCTGTTTAATAGCGAGCTTCCCTCATTACTTGATCGCTTGTATTTACTAAACATATCTTCTAGTAGCTGCGAGTTTCACGCAACGTATTCAAACAATAATTAGCCAGCATAAGTTGCAACAACTCATATCATATTTGTAAATTGTGTTTCAATGGTGAGCTTAATATAAGGAAGCGGAATTATTAAGTCATTTTTTCACTGGTCTCATATCATTTTTTTCAAGTAGACTCGAATGGAGAGTAAATATTGCAATTAGGTTCAGCTTTATTAAGTTCCTAAGTGAGAGGGAAACAAGTCACACAATACGAGCAGTAACAGCACTCTCGCCCTCACTTCGAATGACTAGCGCACTCGCTCGCCGTAGCACAGCATCTTGGGAACAAATTCAATATAAATTCGAACAAAAAAATCTGCACCAACAGTCAACTTTAACAAAAATACACTAAGTGAGTATCTAAAACACTTACAATATCTGTATAAATATCATCCTGGAACTCTTATGACCTAACAACATGCATATACAATCATCATAGGAGGGATTAATTAAACACTTCCATTCTTTTAAATCTAAACAGTATTGATGAAATCGAATATCATCGAATTTTTACACGCGTACAATCATGAGCAAAAGTAACTAAATTAGAAAGCTGCACCACATTGAATGCCTCTTCATGTTCTTAAATAATAACAATTACTGGGCCACAGATAAACTTTTATTTGAATAGAAACACACAACTGGCATCAACACCAAGATGAGAACACTAGAGCTAAGACAGACATGGTATTATTGCAAGATTCAAACCATTCACTCACCCTTTTTGGTTCCCGATCTATATTCAATTTGTTTTATTAATAAAATTATCTGACTACTTCTAATATAAAGTTGGAGTGAAACCAATTTATTTAAATTTATCTTCAGCGAGAACAGATTTTTAACTGACCACTGTGTAAATGAAGTAATAAGATCTTTATTCAGCATAAATGCATTAATTTTCTCTCCTTATCGCCAGGCAATAAAAAAATAACCGCAATAACTTATTCGCCGCCACGCATGTTTCTCCCTCAAACCAAACAAAAAATATCGATTCTTCATTCCCTCGATGTAACTTCTATGATTAAAAAATTTTTCGTGTAAATCAACTTGAGTAAAACATTCTAAATACCTGCATGTTTTGGTTAAGTTTGACTGAAAACCACGCATTTCACAATGACTTTATTCATTATCCGGAAGCTCGAAAACAAGAAACAAAACGACACTAAAATTTATTAATAAATTTGGATTTAATTTATTCGTGTCCAAACAAAATCATTATATTTTGCTTAATTCATTCCTAATCAAGATCACAAAATTTAATTAATCAAAATTTGTTCAGATCAAAGAGCTGGTAATAATTAACAATGTATTCACATTTTTCATTCTAAGATATCAATTTGCAGAGAATATCACCAGACAACAACAGAGTGGATCAATCAGAAGCCTCTAGCCGGTGAAATTATTCCATACCTTCTTGTATGAGGTGACTAGGCGTAAACATGCTTTTCTAGTGCAACCTAGTACGAAGCTTATTTTCTAGAACAAACACTACCTATAAACTTACACTAGTTAAACAACAACAACAACTGGTGGAGGTGTTCGTGTATAACCCAATTGTTGCTGTCCAACGATCGAGATTTTTTTTCGATTACCCATTTTTACAGTTCACCTTATCGTAAATTTGATGTTTGTGATGAATCTCGAGGACACTGCACCGAATTGAGCATTCAGGAATACGCACAGATGAGCAAGGGCAAATGAGTAACGAGCGTCTTTAGTTCGCAAAGATATCAATGTTTTACAGTGAATCAAAAACTACCTTATATTTTTTGTTTAAATGTTTACAATAATTGTAGCCTTAATAATCAATTGGCGTCTTTTTCAAGAAACGCGAGAAAAATTTGCAGAAAAATTAGGACTTTAATGTGCATAATTCCTTAATTGGTCTTCCCAGCATTAGCTATAATTGCCAGTCGATACGATGTGTCGACCTTTTTGGCATAATTTCCCCACATGCAAAATTGCTTCTTAGCGTCTCATAATTTTCCTTTGAGTTAACAATGGAATCTTGTTTAATGTATTAATTCTTCAACACTGTAGCTGTTCGGTGGAAAAACTTTCTAGAGCGGGTGAGGCTGATATTCTAAGAGCATTTATCTACCGAAGACAAACATCTAAGAAAGACGAGTTTCATTAAATCGCTAAACAAAATAAACATTTAGACCAAGATAAGTCAACAACGTTCCACAAGCCACATAACACATTTTATTTGTACAATTATTTACATAAGCCTTCAATAAAAAGAGAAAACATTTAAAGCAGTTAAATTTAATTTCGAAAATATAGGTGATAATTTGTGGAGTATATTAATTTTATTCGTTTTGTTCCCATTTAATCAAATTTCCTATAGATGACCACGAAACTCGAAATGTTGCAATAATGATTGATGCTAAAAGAACGAATTATATGCGAATAAGTAACGATTCGCACCAATTTTGGTATCAGATAAATTATATTAACAATTTATCGCACGATATTTATTTTGAAACTATAAACTTCTTCGTCTGTAGAGCGATACATGCTTAACACATCGCCTTGAGATAGCATGTTGATATTCAACGAAGTATATTCTCTGTTTTCACACTCACGCTGCTTGGCTCTCATCAGTTTTAGAAGGATAACATAACACTACTTAACGCTATGAAACACTGGTGCTCTCAAGTCTCCTAATGAGTACTGATATGATTGTATTCTGTCAGCCACAGGACTCAGGCCTACAGGCTGTGGCATAGAAGTCTACGTGGAAACTAAGATCAGAATAAAACAGTTCTTTAATCGAATACTCTAATAACTTATGATCACTAATTTGGATCCGAAATCTCTCCTTGATTCTAACGAGCTGCATAAATTGAAAATGAAGATAGTATCAGTGTGAATATCATGTTTAGTGACGATGTATTGTACAATGAATTTAATGTAAAATGTACAATGTCCAACCGATTCAACATTTTTTATTTGACTAATTCTCGTTTGTGCGTGAATCCGACGAATATCTTCTGCCTTCCCTTTCTACATAATATACGCAAAAGGATAACAAGACTGTCACGTTCAATCAAACAATCGAATCACAATTATGAAACTTCTCACAGCGCACAAAGCTACAAAAATAATATGCTCGAGTACAGAAGACACTAAGATATATTAAGGCGCTATCTCAAAGATCATCAATATTATGGATTTATTGCACGAAAATGAAATGTTTCATAACGATACGAGTCTATAAATGCCTTCTCTGTGCACTGTTAGAAAAATTAACGTTAACGGTATTACCGGCGTTTCAGTGGCCGGTTGTCACGTGAAAAGAAACACCTTGTCGCCGTTTTTATTTTAATTTAACGCTAGAAATCCGAAAAACATCTGATAAAAACGGCAAAACAGTTTATTTTCACGGGGCGACCGGCCACTAGAACGCCAGTGGGACCGTTTTTCACCGTTTTTCAAACAGTGTGTAAATAGTTAAGTTATTTTGAGAAATTGGTTTTGCAGCCGTTGGAAACTGCTCGTTGCAAGGCTATGTTAATAAATATCGATCGAGAATCCATTAGGCAGCCGCAATAACTGATTAGTCTTAATTTTCGGTTTATGTGAAGGATAATCAAGATATTCCATATTATTTATGTTTGGCTGATGCCCGTTAAATTGCTCGCAAAGTTTGTCCTGTCGTGTCCATTGATGAGCCATAACAAATCCATCGAATTCTTCCAGAAAAATGCGTCAGTGAAATTTTACTGGTCGTAATGGAAGTTTCCCATCTGCTGTTGCCGGAAGGGATTTCTGTCAGAGACGTTGCCATTGACGCCCCCCGACGCTCCTGCGCCATCGGCAGGTTGCATCTCGTAGCTCTCGTACGTACCGTAATTTTCCGGTTTCTGGTTGTCCGCAGCAAGACGGGCGAATTCCATGTGATTTTTTACGTCTCCAGCAACTTGCTGCCCGTCTTGCATCGTGTACGTCTGCATGCTACCTCCAGGTGGTGCGCCCGTGTTGACTTTGATTTGCTGGTCTTCTTCGAAAGGCTTGTAGTGATGAACGTTCTTTAACGTGAAGATGAGCGGGCAGTAGAGCAAGTTAGAGACTGCAATTATCATGTTTAGGCCGACAAATCCAATGCTACTGACAATAGAACCGGCGATCATCGGTCCAAAAGCATAGGCCATTGAATATGAAATATCGGCAATGGCGTAGATCGACCCGTAGACGCTAACGTAACGCGTGTCCACTAAATGCCCGAGGAGCGGAAGCAAAGCAGTGTCGATCAGTGCAATACCGAAGCAGATTGAGCAAATTGGAAGCATTACCATCCAGTAGTTGGTAGAGAACGGGAGGAAAATGCAACTGATTCCTTCCATTGCTAAACCAATGGTCGCAACCAGCCACTGGTAACTCGGATGGCTTTTGGCTAGTTTTACTGTGACGACCACACCCGCCACATGAGGAAAGAATGACGGTAACCAAATCATTCCCATTTGCCAGTTTTCTACAGTCATTGTATCCATCATCCAAACGCTGATTGTTGGCTCTAAGAACGCAAGAGAAACATTAGCCATCACCAGAGCACCAGCACAGCAAAGAATGTACGGGTCCATGAAGAGTCGCCAAATTGGAGTTCCCACTTGGTGCTCTACTCCTCTCTCTTTTCTTTGGTCTTTTATAGGCTGCATCACGATTCTCAGCATGACGGCATCAAAAAGGGAAACGAATGCCAGAATGATGAATGGTACCTGCTTACCAGCAAATTGGTACAGAGTGCCTCCAAACGGCGGCGCCACGAGACAACCAAATGAAATAAAGGCCAGTGCAATTCCAAGAGCTTTCGTTCTTTCTGCTTCTTCGGTGTAAGTGTCGGCTATCATGGCCAACCCCGAAGTGTCGGCAAATGCAGACCCGACGCCTTGAAGGCCCCTTGCGAAGAATAGCAAACCGTAAGATTGCCCTACTGCAAAAATTGCAGTCGAAAGAAACATAACAATTAGGCCAAATGTTAGAGGTTTGTCGTAACCAACTCTGTCGATAATCATTCCCGAGAAAGGATTAATCATCAACTGCACGAGTGCTTTGGAAGCGAACAGTAAGCCGATTCCTGCCTCTTCTCCTTCGTAAACGACCACCTGATGGATCATTCGATATCTCACCTGCGTATCGTTTACCAGGTAATTTCCTGAAGAATTTGTATAGTTTCGAGCATTGTAGAAATTATACTTTTGTTTGTCGCCACCTTCTAAGTGAGTGGTCCACGCTCCAAGTTTCCTCAGGTAGTCAGGTATGATAGGTACAATGACCATGTAAAGCATGTTGTCTAGCAGCAGCGCTATGCTTACGATCACCAGGACCACTTTTCTCTGCACCCTCTGCTCGCTCAAGAAGTTGTACAGCCATTCCCAACATTCTTGTAGGGATAAGCCAAGGCCCGGCAGCACAAGGTTTCGAATGGAATCGGGAACTTTTGGCATATTGAATATTTTTTTTAACAGAGTTTTTGAACGCCCTAAAAAATGATCCTATTCGGTGGAAAGTTTATCGAGAAGTTGCGTAGAAGAATGAAGACTTGTTAAAATTTTATCAAGAAATCATTTCATGTACAAAATTGTGAGATGACCTCATTTCCAAAAGCTCGCTGCCTCTTTTACATCAATTTTTGCCAGCTAATCGATTATTCCTATATTGTTGTCGCGTCGATATTCGATGAGCACGTATCAGTTTCGAATTCGAAGCTAACTTGATCTGAACTTGTTTTGCGTGAGGACACCAATCAATACTTGGCAAATTGGAGATGGTGATGATGACCAGGGATGGTGATGGCAGGAAGATCGACTTCGAACCCCCGGCACCACTTGGAACCTTCAAAAAATAATAAAAAACATTAGATGGTTCCACGAAATTGAGAAATTTATAATTATTGAACTTATTTCATGAGTTATAGCTGGATATGACTGAATATAAGAATATTTAATTCCAGCAGGTAATAATTTAAAAAATCTACGTAAAATACTGAAAAAAATCATTTTTCATGTTGAAATGCCCCCATAGAGAGCGTTTCATCATTAAAATCCATTTGCAATTTGTTTTATGTGGTGCCAGGGGTCCTGCACAGAGCGGATGAGACACGGACAACTTATGCATGGAATTTTGACTAAATTTACCTCTGAATAAATACCTCAATAAAAATTATTGGCCTTAATATTTGTGATTAAACTCTCTTCAGAAGAGAATCTTAAACCATAAAAATTATTTGTGATGTTTGGTTTATTTTATTTAACCAGTTTGGTCTATGATTTTTTTAACGCTCCTAGAGTTGCTTCTTTGTTTTCCTCTTAATTACCAGCTCTCCGCTTCAGCTGAAAACTTAAGTCTGAGTGAATGTCACTTCCCGGCGCAGAACATTGCCCTATCGACAAGCCACGAGACTTATCATTACTATCTAATAGCTTAAAAATATTTCTACCATTCTAGGCCTTGTTTCATTTTCCTTTCTGCAAAAAATTCTAGCCATTATATATTTCTATAATTGTTCTGATGTTAATAAGAAAATCACTATAGTGCAGACATTTCATATTTTGTCGTACATCGAAATAGATTTCACATGCAGCTATTATCTTCGTGTCGCGTGGATTTAAGTAAATATATGGCAAGTTATTTTCCTGAGCCATTTGGTACTTGTCACATTTCTTTCTTGTGCATGTTAGCTCATGCACGATTAAAGGTTATTTTCAATCAGAATATATAGTGTCCGGATACGACCAAGAACAAGTCTCTTTACTCACCGTGTTTACTGCGAACTGCGTGCGTGAAGAGTAGTCGGGAGATATCACGTCCGGTAGGCTGAATTATAGCGCAATACCTGCACATGAAAAAATACTATCTCAAAATCGTTCACGAAAAATAATGAAGCATTTCCAGTATAATAATGATTATTATTATTGGTCGATATCAGAGAGGGAATGCGGAGGCACCCACGTCTCAAAAATAGATTAGAATTTAAAACATTTCTCGCATGACATTCTTTGTGAGACAGTGTTGTTTGTAGTAGCTGTAATAGTCAGACAATAATTGCTAGCGTTCGAAAGATTTATTGCCTTCATAATCATATTCAACACAATTTTGCTTAACATATTAGTTTATGATTCGCAACGTCGAATGCATGGTCGAATCACAGCTATGCTTGCTTCCGAACATGCAGTATCTGCAATAAATTCTTCATTGTATCTAACAATACATTGAGGTGACCTTTCTAAAGCCGAGTGCAGGGAATATAATGAAAGGAAATGAAAGTTCGACAATCAAGCTAGACCGAGGTTAACTTTTTTCTAAATTTCAAGGGGAGACTGCATGGTCGGAGTTTGACTTTTAAACTGCACTAAGGACACTGCATTCAAAGTGGCTTCTCTATTTTTTTGCGACTTTCAATACCGAGCGCAGAAGCAACGCTTCCCATTCCATTCAATTTTAAAACTCCCTCGAATGTCATATGCATTCAAATGTCTGTATTCCGAAGACCCCGAATGTTCGTGTTGAGGAAATAATTTGCAAGGGAAACTGTCAGACAAATTGTTTTTATTAATTGCTGTAAATAAACGCACGATAAAATGTATATATTTCCATGCTAAAAAATATAAATGTATAATAAATTAATAATCGTCAACTCAACGTTTGAATTTTTTTCTGTGAGCGAAAAGAACATTTTTCGAGGGCAAAAAGCAAACATTTCCCCATTTCAAACATTTTCCGACAATTTTGAGAGCAAACTTCACATACAACTCTGACAACAAAAAGGTGCTTATACGTCAAAAGCATTCTCCATTGTACTCATTCAACCTCATGATGCATGCACATGACTTGTTCCTTCAGAAAATTTCAAGGACTAAGGGACTTGCACTCCTAAGAATTTCATGCAGTAATTTACATCCCACAAAGACAGTGTAGTGAACTAAAACAATTCCGATACGGAATCATTTCTTGGTAAAAATTGAGTTATAACTTGGATTCAACTTATACTCATTGCGAACTTTTACAACATTTAAGTCAATAAATAAAAAAGTTTGTTCCTCCGATATACAAAACACCTTTTCTGATTTAAATGTGAAATTCGGGTTGTAAAAAAGCTATATGACTTCATTATGACCGCGTGAGCAGCGCCCATTACAACGAAGTGGACGGACCTGTTCCCTATTGCCCGACCGTGGAGTCATTATCAATGAAGTTCTTACTAAAGAGCACAGCCTTGCACGAACTTTTACTGTCTACGCAGTGCACACGAACTATAGCGCCGTAATGCACAGTTATGAACACAACGTACTGCAGCCAAGCAAGTGCACACGAACGAGCGCCGTAATGCACGACCACGTACACGTCGTACAGCCATGTACACGTCGTACAGCCATGTACACGTCGTACAGTCTTTAGCTCGCGTCGCACAGACATACGAACAAATGACACACCTGGATCGATGCCGGCCTGGGGAGCCGCTCCGAGGGGCGCGCGGGAGGGTGTGGCTCGCCCTCGCAACCCCTCGTGTAGCGACCGCTGCCTTCAATCCCCTCCTTCATCTATTGAACCCCTCTGCCTTCACTCCCCTCCTTCATCTATTGAACCCCTCTGCCTTCACTTCCATTTATGCATCTCGATTCAACATCAATTTTCAAGCGCATATCATCACATTGCTCATAGGCCAGTCAAAACAGACTTTGGGATTTGCATGAGATTAAGGAAAAAATATGTTTTTTTACTTTGTTATTCAACATGAATATTTTTGGTGCGAATTCTTATATTTTCAGCAATTCTTTGTGTCGCTGTTTATCAAGATCTGTTAGTTGTTAATTGTTCAATAATGGTCCGTTCATAATGGCAATGAGACAAGAAATGAAGCCATGACTTTTTTTCGGACGTTGTTGGACACTGTAAGATCGGACGCTGTATAGATCGGACACTGTATAGATCGGACACTGTATAGATCGCTGGCTCCTAATGTCAAGAATACTGCCGCTTCATATCGATTTGATTTTATCGGCGATCGACTTGTCTCTTGCTTTGCTCTAGAACCTATGAAGCTTCTGGCTGTTGCTTTGCTTTACAACCCTACAGAGCTTTGGTTTGTTCGTGCATTCATTAGGTACAAGCACCTTAGCTAGTAATGCAATGCACTGTAGGTAGTTGACATAAACCTGAAGCTGGTGGAGTGTAGAAAACGATTTATTGTTTTAATTTAAAGGCCAAATTTCTGGGGGTAATGAAATAAATTTCTGCACAAACATGTTCCGATCGAAGGCGCTGTTTTATTCGTTGCGTCTACAGCGAATTAATAACTTGTAATTAATATAAAATAATTCATAATAAAAACATAAGTAACCGTTTAGAGAAGAATAAATTTTCTTTATATATGAGTTTGAAAGTAATTTTCGTCCGGCGAGAGATCCGCATCTTCAAATTGCAACATCAATTCATTATATTTCTGCTTCAAGATCAAAAATTGAAATTGGAAAAGGAATTTTAAATTTATTGTCTATTTCGATTTGGACACACGCAAAAATTATTACAGGAACATCATCGTCAATTCAGATCATAAATATCGGATTTATATTCTGATATTGAGGAATATAACATGAACGTTGCTCTATAATAAATAATTGTTTTTATAAATATTCAGAACATATATGCGTAAGATGTTAAAATTTGTATGGAATAAATTCAATCCCCAAACAGGAAAATTTTCAATTATATAAAAGAATTACATAAAAATATTAAATTCCATCTAAAACTCCCGTCTTAAATGTGAGCTAAAATTTAATTATTTTCTTACAGATCTGCACTGCCGGAGTAGATATTCCTGTAAGCCTAAAACTCTTTTTAGCGCATTTTCTCATTTATGGAAAAATGCACAATTGTGCTCGCCATGTCTGTCTGTCCGTCCGTCTGTCTGTCCGTCCGTTTGTCTGTCCGTCCGTCTCTCTGTCCGTCCGTCTGTCTGTCCATCCGTGATTTCGCGTTTTTGTCGACGAGAAAACGTGCGCTCTGCCACTCACTACAGTGAGTACTGAGTTATATTTTATGAGTTTGAAATTTCATCTTGAGTCTCCCCTTGGTCTAGCAAAAATCCGAGCCTTATTTACTCTATAATCTGCACTCTGCTTTGATTTAATGCTACCTGTAATTCGATAGATTAATTATGACATGTACTGCAACCGATGATTGTAACTGTCTGGATTGTTGGATTCATGGTGGATTTAATTTTTAATAATATATAGTATGTATGCTACACTATGCTATACTATACTATACTTTTAGAGATTTCCAATAATTTTGGCCATTGTAGCGGCTAATGTAGCGCGCTACATTTTACTGTAGCGATAGCGGTAGCGCCCGTTACAATCTAGTGAGTGTAGCCGTAGCGGTAGCGCCCGCTACATTTAGAGTATGTAGCGGTAGCGGTAGCGCCGCTACATTTCCAAGTAGCGCTGCCTAGCTCTGTCAATATGCTATGTTAACCTTGACATCGGAGACCAATTACACAAATTTAGATTGATAACAGAACACTAAGCGACAATAATAAAAATAATATATAAATAATATAAACATAATTAATCAATTTGATATTAAATTTTTCATTCGATATTATACTTCAATTTATTCATTAAACCTCACATACTTTGGTGGCGAATATAGATGAGCAAGCATCATTAGACACGTTCGCGTCATGTTATTTCAAACGCGTTAAATGATGAAATGACGCAAGGCAGGCGTTAGGAGCTGCGAACTACGAATTATCTTATGAAAGTCAATTACCGTAATGAAAAATTTTCTCATCGCTTTGAGATATTGTATGGAATATTTTCGTGATACTAAGTGGATGAAGCGTTTATTCGAAATCGAGACTTTTGACATCATCAAAGAAATACTTAAGCAGAATGGCCGAATTTGTAAACGATGCTATACCTGTCTCTTATACACATCTAGATGTGTATAAGAGACAGCCTCTGCCTTCACTTCCATTTATGCATCTCGATTCAACATCAATTTTCAAGCGCATATCATCACATTGCTCATAGGCCAGTCAAAACAGACTTTGGGATTTGCATGAGATTAAGGAAAAAATATGTTTTTTTACTTTGTTATTCAACATGAATATTTTTGGTGCGAATTCTTATATTTTCAGCAATTCTTTGTGTCGCTGTTTATCAAGATCTGTTAGTTGTTAATTGTTCAATAATGGTCCGTTCATAATGGCAATGAGACAAGAAATGAAGCCATGATTTTTTCGGACGTTGTTGGACACTGTAAGATCGGACGCTGTATAGATCGGACACTGTATAGATCGGACACTGTATAGATCGCAGGCTCCTAATGTCAAGAATACTGCCGCTTCATATCGATTTGATTTTATCGGCGATCGACTTGTCTCTTGCTTTGCTCTAGAACCTATGAAGCTTCTGTCTCTTGCTTTGCTTTACAACCCTACAGAGCTTTGGTTTGTTCGTGCATTCATTAGGTACAAGCACCTTAGCTAGTAATGCAATGCACTGTAGGTAGTTGACATAAACCTGAAGCTGGTGGAGTGTAGAAAACGATTTATTGTTTTAATTTAAAGGCCAAATTTCTGGGGGTAATGAAATAAATTTCTGCACAAACATGTTCCGATCGAAGGCGCTGTTTTATTCGTTGCGTCTACAGCGAATTAATAACTTGTAATTAATATAAAATAATTCATAATAAAAACATAAGTAACCGTTTAGAGAAGAATAAATTTTCTTTATATATGAGTTTGAAAGTAATTTTCGTCCGGCGAGAGATCCGCATCTTCAAATTGCAACATCAATTCATTATATTTCTGCTTCAAGATCAAAAATT